AAGAGCGTCTCCGGAAAGTCAGAAGGCATCAAAAAATGCTGGGGAACAGCCCAGAATAACATTTTCTGGGTCACTTCTGGGTCATGTAGGCAGGAGAGCTCAAGGCAGAAGCGTGATAAGAAAATGCAGTGCCGTGAGATGGTGTTTGCCAGTGGCACGGAGGAGGAGGAGGAGGAGGAGGAAGGCTACCGTGGCCGGGGACAGTGTCAGGACACCATGTACTGGTGTTGCTGCCACCAGTTCGTTCTGGGCTTCGGGCAAATCATTTTAATTCCCCTTCTTTGAAAAGAAGGAAAACACCTTCTTATCTCACACCAGCCTTGATTAATTCCCTCCGGCAAAACCCTCCCGGAGTCTCAAATGTAGAGGCACCGCAGACACGCGGCTTCTCCAGGAGGATGCTGCCGCCGCCTCCTTCCAAATTACTCTCAGAAATATTTGGCATGTACCGAGTATTTGCCCCTCTGCCGGGGTGAGAAGTGTTTCCCTGGCGTCGCTGGCCCACGGGGCGATGCCACGGGCTGTGAGATAACACGTAAGTAAGAAAAGGCACTTTTGAGTGGGGCAGGGAGCGATTCTGAAAGCTTGGCCGGTCGGCAGCTCAGCTTTCCGAAAGCATCCACGCCGTAGTGCTTTTTTAAATGGTGATTAAAAAAAAAAAACAGATTTTTTTTTTGCCTGCAAGCCAGTGGTCGACACGATAGGTACAGAAATTTGGGACCTTCTCTATATTCCTTTCCCTCCCTCCAGATTTCTTCTCTGTTTTTTTCGGAGCTGTGCTCCGTCCCATGGGGCATGGCATTACCTGAGCCACAGCTCACCAGCAAGCAACTTCACATTCAACCCTGTCTGCAAGCCAGGGTCTTTTATCTTAAGGCCATAGAGAGAAAAATAGGTAATATTCAGTATAACTGCATGACCAAGCTGGGGGAAGTTGTTGTTTATGGGGAGAACTAAAAGCAACACAATAAATTCATCGCGGCAGCTTCCCAATGCCGAAATCCCTCGGAGGGGGGGGGTTCCCCAGGTCCCGCTGTCCTGTCCTCTGCGCCCTCCTCCCTGCTCGCTCCTCCTGGCCAGCCCGGTGAAACGCCGGCTGCTGGCACCGTGTCCACCAC